AACTTGTACGGAAAACTGATCGGATGGTCAATGGTAAAGGTTCTTTTGTTGTCACTTTGTGGGTGTTGTGCGCTAAGATTTTTGGGCGGCAGTGCACGACCGTGCTCTGTGGACGAACCGCCCCTGAGTACATCTGCCCATGTTTAAGTTTAATTAAATCACTTGCTACATCAAACTGCAGGCGTAAGTAGAAGCACTGCTTTGGTACAACCGCAACGTGAAAACAAGGCCACAGCGCAGCTTTGGACGGCCTTGGAAAGAAAGTAGTTTGGATTCAGAGAGAAACGCCAGTGCCGCTCCTCACTGGCGCGTAATAATGACAGATTTATCTATGTGGGAGGCAACAAATTTCATTTGGGGATTCTTTTAATTTCACTACCTCGCGCTTTCTCTATGGTCGCCCTATGATGGGCTTTTGGATTCTATTGGATATCCAATTTTTAATCGCTCTTTGGATGCATACACAACAGGATCGCTATAAAACAGATAGTTTACCTTGCTACGCATTGCTCATTTTGAGATAGCAGCACCACCCTGCCCCCTCATTTCAGTGTAAACTTTAAGATTTCATCTACTGTCTAGACGCCTCCACGTGTGTCTCGAAAATTACTCACCCGTGTCTCTTGAATCGTGTTTTTAGGCGTGCGTTAGGGTGTGGTGTTGAGGAAAATTATAACAACATGCCAACTTTTTATATTTTACAGGTGTAGGTCAACGCTGTAAAGCCTCTACTATTATTATTATTCCAAGGAGGTTGTGTAAAGTCCTATTGATGTATTATCAAACAAAACAGAATATTAATTATTATTGATTTGAAGAAAAGCCCTTGGACCTCGGATGTTACTTGCTCGTCTTTTTCGAAAACGGGCTCATTATTAACAAACAATGAAAGGTCTAGCTTTTTGGAAATGACTATCTCACCATACTAGTGCTACAACCCCCCCCCAAAAAAAAAACAACAAACAAACAACAACAACAACCTAACAAACAAACAAACAAAACAAAAAGCAAAAACCGAAAAACTAATTTGGACATAAAGATTAATTAAATATGGACAAGATTCTATCTGATATCGTCAAATCAACCAGCACTCTTAACAACCATAGTTGAATGTAACAGTGCTGGTGTGGCGCCCTAAAATCTAAGAGAGATAACTCTGTACATCACCTTGGCGCCAACTACGAAGACCCCAGCACCCACCAGTACAAAACAAGGGCGGAAAAAGTCAGCCACCTCACAAACCGTGCAGTGGTTGTCTTTTTCTTGAGATCTAAACCCCATCTCTATTTGTGTAATTGAATAAGACGTCCTGACGAAAAGAAAATGGAAAGTTTAGAGGAAAACGTACCACCGCCAAAAAAGCTGAAACAAGGTAAGAGTCTGGGATGAGCTCCTCTTGTCTCGACCAGACTTGATCAAGAAAGTAACAAGTGAAACTGAAACTGAAAACGGAATGATTTTGCCTGGGCTAGATTTTTAGATTTAGACTAGATCTAGACGAGAGTCTACAAAATGTCGACTGATTGTAAGTGTCTTTGTTGTGTGCCAATATAGATTAGAATCTAATGTGTGCTTTTGTACTACACCACCTCATCAGCAATGAATTATGAATTTTAGTGTGATGTTCTGTCATGGAGGCGGAGGCCTCATATGATCCTAATTTATGATGGATCTCATCCCTGCCTCTACTCTCATGATGCCATTGATGCCGATGCTTTAAAAATCCTCTCATACTGAAGCCTACTCTTAGCCCTAACCCGATTGTTCTTTGGGGAGGAATTATGTAGATCTAGATCTAGATCTAGGCCTAACAAGTGACCACAAGATCGTTTTAGAAAACCAATTTTATCTTCTCCTTCTCTCTCTCTTTCTCTCTCTCTCTCTCTCTTTCTCTCTCTCTC